AGGGGAGACATTGGGGGGCCTGAAGGAGCTGGCAGGGGATGGGGCCAGGTGGGACAGCAATCCGGGTGCTGGGGAAACGGGTGGGACATGTGGGCCCTGTAGGGGGGGTGGTAGCCCCTTATTACGACAGTAGTGCCCCTTTATGAGTAGTTGTTTATATAAACAAAGTCAATTTCCTATGAAAAGATTTCACTTTTCATCTTTTCCATCCCTGAAGCTTGTAAGAGTCTGGCCTTTGTGTATGTGCACGCTTCCATGATAATTACTGTTGTCCACTATGAACTGCTGTTAAACTCACATGTACTAATGTTTTATTTTACTGTAGCTTAATATTCCCTGGCGTGAGACTGGGTGCTGACAGTCAATTTAGTGATTTCCTTGATGGACTTGGACCTGCACAACTAGTAGGCCGACAGACACTAGCAACCCCTGCCATGGGTAAGAATATTGTATTTTCATGTGTAAGAAAAATGACATCCCATTGCTCAAAGTATAGCCCAGGTGGTCTGCACCTAGTAGGGCAGGTGGCCTGCAGCTAACAGATTGCATACAATTGGAATGTTATATGATGTGGCCTCTCTCACTTTAAACAAAAAAAAAGGGTATGGTCCATCCTCTGTTGTTATCCCAAATCAGCTGATGGTAGAGAATTTCAGCTTGAGAACTGATATGTATGGACTGTCATTGCAGCCTTATTCCTTGCTGTCTCTCAGTTCCTAGCATATTACCAGCTTTTAAATGTGCAGAGTTTGCAGATGATTGACATGGATTATGTCGGCTGTGGCATTGTCTGGCCAAGTACTGAATTTTAAAGGTAATCCAGAAATTAGAAACTCCATTCCATGTTTACAACACATCTGACCATCAGATTATAAATGAGACTGCTAGGTTGTTGCTAATATAACAAATGAAATCTTAAAATCTGTTCTACAGCAGCCTCACAGGGGTTGTCTGTGGTCTGCTTTGTATTCCATAGCAACCCAGAGTCTTCTCAGTATCATTCACTATAATCCCCACCTTCCTTCCACCTACAGCATATCCCCTGCAGTAAGGCTTTCATAAGCCAGTATAGGGCTGTTTATGGTAGCCTTATGCTCAGTAGGGGATTGTGAAATGGGCCATATTCCATTTAGATTCAAATGCTGAGATGCTGGGTTGGATGGAGCATTGCACAGGAGCACGGGGGGCCCTCCGTGTGCTCGGCAGTGAACCCAGAAGTGGACTGGAAGTACTTCCAGGTCAGCTGGGGAGCACGTGGGGGTCCCCCAGCACCCTCCCTAGCTCAGCGAGTGGCCATGGGGGTACTGTGGGTGTCCCCCCAGATCCAGGAGGCACCAGTCACTGAGCTGGTGGGGAGGAGAGGGGGCCCTGGCACACTCCCCAGTGGACCCAGAAGTGGACTGGAAGTGTTTCTGGTCCACTTCTGGGTCTGCTGCCGAGCGCGCTGGGGAGCCCCCTGCACTCCTGTGGAACAATGCATCCGCCCCACCATCTCAGCATTCATAAGCTGCCTGGTACCTTGAGGTATGTAGAAAAAATATTTAAAGCTGTGTCTGTCTGAATTGCTGAATCTCTCTGAATCAATTTGGAGGGTTCCAATTTGATTCAGAGAGATTAAAGGGTCTCCTGATTCAGTCTGGATTTGGAGATTTGGCCACTGATCTGCCAAATCGAATCAGGGACAGAAGCTTTGCACAGCCCTAATGCTCAGTCTGTACTGGAGAAATTCCTCACCAGCCCTTTGCAAGCTGCTCTTATGATGTGTACACCACCAAAACAACCTCCAACCTGGGACAGAATCCACCCAAAAATCTTTTGTTTGCACTTGGGTGATATGTGACAACTTAGTGGTGTCATGCATTAGGGATACTACGTGAACAAACTTTGACAACCCTACTGGGCTAACCAAGTGATATGAATTGAAAATCACAGGTTGCAAGTAGTATAGCAGTCACTGAAGGAGCTCAGGTTCTGGGTGAGCAACTCAGCTGCCTTGGAGGAGGAAGAGGAAGCCAGGAGGAACAATGGGAGATTGGGAAGGAGACTTTCCTCTTTCCAATTCAGGAATTCTCCAGAGAAATGAAAAGAGAAGCTTTCTCTTCCATCCATTAAGTTAGCCATAAGGCATAGGATTCTGTAGCAATTCAAACAACAGCTTTCTGGCTTATCTTATTAAGCAGAAAGCCTATGGACTTTTAACAGTACATTTTCCCCATTTTAATAGGACATATTAAAAATATTAAATATTATATTTGGCTTCTTTTTTCCTCATTATTATAAAATCAGAATGAAGCCAGTGGTTCCTCCAGATGGATCCTGTTTACCTCACTCTTTAATTCCAAAGTTGTTTTCCCACCCAAGCCTCTTCCCAAGCAGTTCTGGAGTGATACATCTCTTCCCATCTATTGTAGTCTGCCTTTTTCCAGGATCAGGAGAGGATATGGCCTAGAAAATTCACTCTTCCTATCAAGGGTGTAGGTTGTAGCTGTGCTGGTCTAAGGACATAGGCAGACAAGGTTCTTTGGGTAAATCTGATATCTTTTATTAGACCAACTCAAATAGTTGGAAAAATTCTTCATAGCTAGCTTGTGGGTTTAAATACCCTTTATCAGGCTTAGGAAGCACCTACAGTTGGTGTGTGCTGTTCTCGGATGGAATGAATAGGAAAGAAGCCAGAGGCTGGTATGCAGGCAACTGCCTTTCTTGCCTGTATACCAGCCTCTGGCTTCTTTACTATTCAGTCCATCCAGGAAGAGGACACACCAATTGCAGGTGCTTCCTCAGCCATACAAAGGGTATTCATATCTGAAAGCTTGCTAAGAAGAATTTTTCCAACTATTTGAGTTGTTCTAATAAAAGATACCAGTTTTACTCAAAGAACCTTGTCTACCTCTTCCTAACAAGTCACTCTTCCTAACAATTTCTTTGGTAAGCCTCTTACATGCTAATCTCTGCAGATGGAGTCTCTATGCTGTGGTTCCCTCTGCTGACTGGTTGTGGTAAAGATACTAGTTTCATGCATAGCATCAAAATATGTTCCTGGTGCAAATTTAATGTCAACTGTTTATGGCTCAACACACAGCTTGTTTACTCAAGAAAAGTGTTGATAGATAACAAATCAGTTTGTTGGCCTGTCGTATCTCAAGTACTAAAGCAGCCAAAGTCACTATGCTGTTAGGAATGCATATGAAGATCTCATGTCCAATTACATTTGAAAAATAATACTATAATGAATGGCCTGTGACAGATTCTGTGAACAACACTGCCCACAATGGTTTATATAGTAATATAGGCCCTGAATGTCAATCCTCAATTTAGGGTTATGCACTGATGTGTACTCAATTTGCATCAAGTATAATAAGCAAATCATACTTATCTAATTGTGTATTTTTTAGCTCAGAAGCCTAGTTTGATACCTGGCCACCTTTCCCCCCTAACATTTATAGTGGCTTAATATGCAGCCCTGGCGTTCTAATATTTTGAAAAACAACCCATGATTACAGTGTTGTTTTTATTCAAAGTCTTCCTTTCCAGGACAGAATAGCAAGTGAACGCCCAATAGACAAATTTTCTTCTGTCACTTTCCAAATATCCAGAACTGAGGAAGTAGCTTAGATAGATACCTTGTGTTTTATGCCAGGGAGCAGCTTGTTCTCTTTACGCACACAAAGGGTTACTTTGTATAAAGTGTTGTTCAGGGAGGAAGCTGTGACTGCCATACTTGCTGAAGCCCTTTTATAGAATACACACCCCATTGCAAAGTTTAGAAGATTGAATGAATGGTTAGATAGACTTCAGTGCTGGCTGCTAACAGACGTAAAAAAAACCAAACCCAAAACCAGCACTGTACCTTTAAATTCCACACACACCTGCACCAAGCCCAGCACATGCTCAGAAGAGGCGTCACGTTAGTTGGACCCAGCTTGCCCAATGTTGTATACATCAGGCACTTCAGTGGCACTTTTATGGTGCTTTTAACTAATAGCTAATTGAATCAGCTTTAGATAAAGGTACCACAAAGCCCTGCTGAAACATCCAGTCTATATGGATGCTGTGGAGCCAGGTCGAACTAACGCATTGCTTCTTCCAGCAAAGTGCGTTTGGTTTCTGCCCCCACTCCCCCCGCCATCTGTCCGTGCCCACTGTTACCTTGTGCTTCTTCCATTGGTTTGTTGCCTCCAGATGTATTTTTTATATATTAATATGATAACCTCTTTGCAGACAGGGCCATCATTTGGTTCTGTCCCTGTTTAGTACCTGGCAAAACAGAGTATCAGTCCCTAGTTGGTAGTCTCTAGATTTGACCGTATTATAAATAAAAATAACTGCCACAATGCCTGAGTGATGGCAATGGGCTAGAGTCTATACTGGGCTTCTTAGGATGATAATAATTATCAGCTCTTATATAGCACTTTCCATCAGTAATGTTCAAAGCACTTGATACAAGGTAAGTATCTGTTATCCTCATTATACAGATAGAAAAATTGAAGAAACTAGCCAGTGTCACCCAACAAAAGACCAGAAACAGGAATAAAGCCCCAATCTTCCAAATTTGTGGGGCTGTGCACACTGTGAAACACTGCTTATAGAATATAATGTTCTCTTTCCTCTCCCTTTCAGGTGATATTCAGATTGGGATGGTGGATAAAAAAGGTCAGTTAGAAGTAGAAGTCATCAGAGCCCGAGGACTCACGCAAAAACCTGGCTCCAAATCTACCCCAGGTGAGGGAAAATGTAAATAATAGAACACAATACAAACTATGCCACAAAATGCAGATTAGGTATCTGAAGACACCTTCTCACCTCCTTGAAACAGTCACTACATTTACATTACTTATTTTGCATTTTGACAGAGGGTGTGTGTGCATCTTTGCACAGGTTCAACCACTTGAAAGTGTCCTCTTCTTGCACTTAAAATTAATGTTTCTGAGGCAGAAACATCCTTGGAACATCTGCAGAGGCATGTTGGAGTTTTTAAGGAAATGTTATAGCCCACTGTGGGTTCAGTGAGAGATCTGGAGTCCCTTACATTGACATTTAGCATTTGGTTACTTCCTTCAGAAAAGAAGTGGAGCAGAGTAGGTGAAAAGGGAATATCAAGCAAGCAAATTGATGTTCCCTTTGAGTGGTACAAGTGTTGTGGATAAATCAGCAAGCTGTACCACCAGCTGCAAGCTCAAGTGGTTTAGCTGGTGGGGACAAATAGAATACTGTTATAATGAAAACTTCACTGTTGGAGGAAGGCTTTGCTGGAAATCGTTTTTTATTTTCCAGGAAAATCATTGTGATTCATAATACTCAGAAAACAATTTTAGTTAAGAATTTTCTAAAAATGTTTGTTTAAAACCATTTAAGGGGGAAAAGGTGAACAAGGAATTGTTGCCTTTTTATCTGAACATTTAAAGAAATGATTGTGTGTTCCACCTTTGAACACCCGCTTCACTGAAACATCAAAGTCTTATATTTTGTAATGGCTCTGAACTCCAGGTCTCTGGCACATGTTATGTTTCTGGAGTGATTAACATGTTAATCACACTATTAAAAAGCAACATACTACATGTTCATTAAAATTTATGGTGCCATAAAATAGCAAACAAGCCACAAAAGATATTACTTAACAATGTGTAACATCTAATGTCTTAGATGATTAAATCTGAAAGACTTTTAAATATCCAGTTGAATTTCAACCATCTACGCTGTTTACTTACTGTGTAAAATTTCACTGACTTTGGGCAATTAAAATAGTTTTGGTCATTTTCTTTCTAGTCAGCTTCTTTTTGATTTTCATGCAGTAGTATCAGTGAGGAGGGCCTAAGTCCTAACATAAACTTGTGCTATTACACTTTGTAGCTCCGTATGTCAAAGTATACTTGCTGGAAAATGGAGCCTGTATAGCTAAGAAGAAGACTAGAATTGCACGGAAGACCCTTGATCCTTTGTACCAACAGACACTGGTTTTTGATGAAAGCCCACAGGGTAAAGTCCTTCAGGTCAGTCATTTCTTAATCTTATTTTGGGTCCTGATTTGGTAAAGCACTTAAGCATGTACTTAACTTTAAGTACGTGAGTCACTCCTCCCCTAATCAAATATAATTTGGTTTTACAAACACCAGCTGGTACATCTGTGTGGTTCACAATGTCATTAGAGTTCTGAAAAGCACCTGTGTGGTTGCATCCTCCAATGGTATCTAACATGCAGTCTTACTATGATGTTTCCCATAGTCGCATCCTTCTCTTTCTCTTTGGGAAAAACATTGACCCTGTTCACTCAGGTAGTGAGTTACACCATGAATTAATATGTGCATGTGTGTGTTTTTGGCGAGTATTGAATCTGTATTTTATGCCATTGCAGGTGATAGTTTGGGGAGACTATGGCCGAATGGATCACAAATGCTTCATGGGGGTTGCACAGATCCTTCTGGAGGAACTTGATCTGTCCAGTGTGGTAATAGGCTGGTATAAATTATTTCCACCCTCATCACTAGTGGATCCAACCTTGACTCCCCTGACTCGCAGGGCTTCCCAGTCATCTCTGGAAAGTTCAACTGGGCCTCCTTGCATTAGATCATAGTGAACTTATAGCAGAGGCTGTCTAAAAAAATGTTACAACCCAGGATAATTGGAATCACATATATACATTGATTAAAAACATTGTTGGAGAGAGACAATCACTTCTGTTTTTGCTTGTAGCAGTTATCCAAAATATGTCTGAATTTTACGTTAAAAAATGGCGAAATTGAAAAAACAATATATCAGATACAGGAAGTCAATCTACTCGAAACAGTCACTGATGCTTATAACAATTATAAAGAAAGTGGGACCTCTAGATTAGAATTAAATTTAAAAAAACTGGAAGCTCTCACTCTGTTAACAATGTTGTGTTTTTTCACATTTAGACAGAGCCCAGAAGCAGTGTTAAATTCCTGGTATTCCAACAGTTCTTCTGTATTTGTTACTTCCACTAATTTTTTGTTGTGTGATTGTGCCAGTTTTGGGAAAGTCCTCCTAATGCTAACAGAGACCCTTCCTTTCTTTTTCTAAACCAAACAAAAAAGGGCTGAAGTATATCTCTGTAAGCATTCCTTAAAGTGTTCAAGAGCCAGAATTACCTGACGCAATGCCAGTGAGATTCTAATTGTTTCTTAGTTCTGGTTCTTCAAAGTCTTTCATGTGAAAACCCAGAACAAATGACCATTCAAGATAATTCCTTTAAAAAAATTCAGACCACTAACTTTTCTTTGTAAAAAAGCAAAACTGTTTGCATAATGATTTTTGTTTTATGATATTTTGCATGGAAGAGTTTTGAAGAAATCTATCTGCAACTCATGCTGGGGACTGATAAGAAAAAAAAGCTTTAGTCTTAATTTTGACATTGAAAATATTACTGGTAATGCAGTTTTCTTCCTAGATTCAAAGAGGAAATATTTATGTTTATGTGTATAAATGTATATTTGACTTCCCAAAATGTTGACCAGGAATGGGTTGAGCATATGACACTTTCAGCTGTACCCAGGCTTCTCTAATATGTGTCACTTTAGACACGCGTGTCTGCCCTGGATAGAGCATGGTATGAAATGTTCAGTATTTCACTGGAGATGCCAGTTGAAATATTCTGCACTTACTAATATTTTTATCAAATTTTAGTTTACATTTCTTTGAGATTGATGCAAGCACAAAGCTTGATTTTTTACCGCAAGATAACTTACTTTTTTGGAAAAAAAAGTCAACTTTCAATTTGCATTTTATTCATTTGGGTTGTTCTTGGCCTTGAAATCTCTTGTGATTTTCTGTAAATGTGCTAAA